GAAAGAGATTTTGCATGATAAGAATTACGTTGAGATTCTTATGATGACTTCCCTTGGTAAACAGATCCACGATCGCTTCGCTCGAGGATGATTCCCTCATAAGATCGTCGTCAATTATTATCAATTTCGCGCGCGTTGGATCGTTAGAATAATCTTCCGGACGCGGTAATCCCTCGTGAAATTCGATTGCGGAATCTCGAGTTTCGTATTGAAGTTGCTGATAATCATCCTGCCATTCGGCATAATAAAACAAAATTCTCTCAAAGTAGACATCTGCCATAGCAGATAAATGACGAAGAAATCTCTTTACAAAGATTGTTTTTCCACATCCCATCGATCCGCACACGATCGACGTCCACGGATGTTTCCAGCGTACATCCATTTGAAATGAGCGCGTCGTACTTAGATTAATAAACAAAGGAACACTTGATTTTTTCTCAGAGAAATTTTTGAGATTAGCTTACTCGCGGAAGGGCCCCACCACGGCGGAGATGTGCTCGCGCTAGCATCTTTGCGTAACGAGCTCGTACTCGTCCGCGACAAGCCGCGCTCGTACGCTCGTGCGAGCATCCATCGCGAGAGCATCGTCGCTTACGAGCTTGTACGCGGTGCTCCTCGAAAGCTAATTCAAGTCGGAGAAACTTACTCGCGGAAAAAATAATTGAATACTTATTATTACGGACGTAAAAATTTATAACTTTTTCTTTTACAAATTTAAAAATCGTAACTTATGCGATTATAATTTAGGATTATAATTTAAAAGATATTTTACAAAATATTTTAATGATTCTCTATTATAAATTTAAAATATTTTCTATATAAAAATTAGTGATAAAAGAAAGTTATAGGAAAATTATAGGAAAGTGGGAAAAAATTGGATTTAAAAATTAATTTTACAAAATTTTTATTATACTTTTTCTTACGATTAAAGAAATAAATATTTTTATATTTTTCTTAATAATTAAACGCAAATTTACATTTGTAATTTTACATTTTCTAATCGAAACCGTATAATATACATTTTTCAAATTTCGCATTTTTTCTTAAATTTAATACTAAAATAAACTATAACTAAAATAAAAATAATCTTAATTTTTACAAACATATTTATTCTGTATACATATTCTGTACATATTTACATTTGTGGGAGGACGGGGAAAATCCGAGCCTTAACTTAACTTAATTTTAAGTAAAATATTATATCGTAAAACCATAGGGATAAGAAAGAAGATTGTCGATGAATCTGCGTTTTAATAAAACAGGAGCACACGTTTTTCACCTCGTTTCGCGTTATTACTTCATGAAACGCGGTGCAGCGAATTGTTTTAAATTGCAGATTTATCTCTTCCTCCTCCTCTTTTTCCCTATTTAATAATAAATTATAAATACTCTTAAAATTAAGCAGCCTCGAGTTTTCAAAAATTTAATTTAATCCCCTTTATCTTACATATTTCATTATTTTCGTGCGTCCGGTGTACGTACCACGTACGCGTAAAATTTCGGTCCGCCAGAGACAAACGCCTCGATGAAGCTACCACGCCCGTAACTCTCGAGTTCGTCGGTCA